TAATATTTTTACATGCTGCTAGTGAGAGAACCTGTTGTTAAAATATTTGAATCCCACCACTGGATGCATGGTCATAAGTTAGAGCATGATCAGATGTGGCAACATGAACTGTAATGACATGGTGAGCCTCCAAAATCATTTTATTTCAACATGCTCAATGTCTCTATAGTTTAGTAGATAAAATGAAAATACTGCAAATTTTGTAGGCTGACTCAAAGTTCTGAACATTCACTGAGTAGTATAGCCTTTTTTTACTTTTACAGTATTCCAAAAAACAAAAAACTCACGGACTTTCCAAGGAATAATTTATGTCTTAAACTTCACATTTGTTATGTAACTTATGAAGAAAAATAATGGTTGAGTAAGAAATTAAAATAAAATAAAACAACTTTACATAAAGAATACTGATATTACTTCATATAAGTGTAAATCAAGCACTTTAAATTTACCAATATAAATACAGAAGCATTAAGTAATTAACTATTAGAACTTCAGCGACTTTTTGACCCTTACCTTGTAGATAGAGTAGTTAGCCTACTCCCATGCAAATCACCATCTTCACCAGACCCTGTCAAATATAAAAACACATCAGCTATCTTATCAATATGAGCAATATTCTTTAATGAGTTATGTATATGTAAATTCTCTGGAAATGTACAATGCTTTCTGATGCCTTAAATTAGCAGTTTCATAGGGTTTATGTGACATTTTTTAAATTTGGGCCTACAAGCTATTATGGGTGAGAAACTGGTGACAAAAGTTAATTATAGCTTTAAAATTTTAGATGTAAATCCTGCATTAATGTAAAGGAATCTTTCTCTGATGCCTAATTTCAAAGGTTAATGTAACAATGTGATACTTGCTTGGTTTGGATTTTATAATTTGGTCAATGAATGTTGTTGTTCAATACTTATCAACTCTGATATCTTAGATATGTATCCTGCATAAGACAAAACTGATATTATGAGATTTGGAGACCATTAGGTACTACAGTATTTTTTACAGTCTTTCATTTAAAAAAAAAACAAACTTAAAATACTATAAATATCATACTAGGAAAAATGTAAATGTAGGGTTTGATTGAGTGGAGAGTACAGACATTATGATATAAAAAAATATTGGAAAAGTCAGAAAGTGACTAAATGGCCAGATATTATGGTTGAATAAAAGCATATTCAAAACGTCCAGTTATAACTAAGGCCTTTGTTTTCATAACCTGCTTTGCTAAGCAAGTCTAGAATTAGACAATAAGTGCATTTAAATCTCTTCATACTCATATAACAATTCTAAGAATTTATGCATGAAAGCAAAGAAGAATATATAATATTATGTAAAAAGCACTACATCTGCCATATCTAGTGTCAATGGAGCCTTTTGCTCAATGCCAGGGATACAACTGGCTGGGATACAACAGATACAGTAGTGGTCTAGGCACTGTTTATATCATCAATTGCACAAACAACAACTGTTACGGCGAGGACAGTAAAGTATAATTATTATCAATTTTATTTAAGTTCTTTTCAAATCAGAATTATGGTAAGGGTTAATAACACAATATGATTTATTTATTAATTTTTAAGGTCAATTACTTCTTATTATTATAATTTTTACTCAAACAGAGTTGGGGGTTGCGTGTTATTTAAGTAATGAGTTACTATAACAACATTTTGTAAACAATGAGGTATTACAATGCATTAGATTTTTAGTGGGAGTAAAAATAATACAGTTATTTTCTGAAAAAAGAATCACGTTTGTCTCATGACAGTTCCTCTGTTGTACATCTACTTTTGTGCTCTTTCATTATTAAAGCCAAGGAAAATTTCAGTTTCTGAATTCTAAGAAATAAAATACCTAAGAGATATGTAAAATATGATTTTCTTCTGAATAACTGTGAAGATCAATTTCAAAATGCAGCTAACAAAATGGCTTTCATACAAGTTTTATTGACACTGTGGTCTTAGATTTGTTTCATCTAGCAAACTGTGTGCATGTGCACAATTAGTTAGATAGTCAACTGTGCAATCAGATTAACTGGTTGCATACAGAGTGTAAAGAAAAGGCGTAACAGAGATTAGTATATTAACATCCTGATGTACAGTTAAAAAAGTAAGAAATAGTCAAAACAGTTCTTTCACAAGACAAGAGAAAGAAATGTACAGAGTAATGTGAGGGGCTACTTTTTTTATTAAGTAATATGCAAGAACATTACCTTACTTTTTTTTCTGAAGAAGCAAGTAATGAGGTACTTTTTTTTTCAGTAAAGTATTCAACACTGCAAAGGAACATTGCTTCTATTTTTTTATAGTTTTAATATTCATAGGTAGAACACAAATGCAATGAAAATTATGAAATTAGCATTTATAAATAATAATAATTCTTTCAATTACTAAGTTTGCAGAAATGTTTAAAGGAACTTCATTATCTGACCAAAATTCCTTTTTGTTTTGAGACATTCTATAAATAGTTTTGGTAACAAATAGCTTCATATTATTTAAACAAACTGTCATGGCAATGAAAGTTCATAGTTGATATTAAAAATCTCTTCAGTTTTCTATGTATTAGCTATTTCATGTGTGAAAAGATGAACAAAACATTTGCAAAATGAAGTTGACCAGCACCAGTAAAGAAAAACATCATCCATAGAAAAATATTCTTGGTATTTAAGTCTTCTGAAGAGTCTATGAGGAAAAAAGGTTCACTGACCAAACTGTATTCACCTCAAGTTCAGCAGATTGGAGGGACTCTGAATGGGACACATGATAGCAATGTGAGAAAGCAATTGACCAATCCAGGAACCAGACATCCAGATGATCGATATTGTAAATATGTCTCTGTAATATAAGCTATCTCGCTCAAAAACAATCTGATAGGAACTGACCACCCCTAGTGCAATAACATCCTCGGTTTAATAAAAGCATTGAGGGATAACATAACAGGAAGAACCATATTAATCTGCTAGTTCATCCATTGTGATCCACAATACGGATGGAGGAACAAGATTATAATTAGGTAAGGAAACAGAGACACCTGTAATACATGTGTGAGGACTTATGATAATTGGTTCAGCTCTGAATACAAAACCCAGCCACTGGGAACCAACATTCACGTGGGGTAGGATCCCAATCAAAGGGATGAACTGCAATTTTGATGGCTCACTCCAAAGCTACCACATCCTCTCGGGTAACCCCATACAGAGATGGAGCATCAGATTGGAGGGCATTTCACCATCTACACCAGCAGAACACCACCACCCTACTCTCAATTAAATGGTTTTATCATTATCACATCCAGGAGGATGCTTCCATGGTTCACCACCTCAGCAGTTGGAATTGGAAAGTGGTAAGGACTCCTATCCTCTACTGGAAGAAAAAAAGAGAGGAGAAAATGTGGTGAACAGTCAGGAGGAATGACAACACCAAAGACAATGCAACAGGTGACCACAAAAACCCTAAAGCAGACCATACCTGATTTATTCAATCTAAGGCTTGGCAGGGATGGGTGAGTATGGTCTGAAATGAGCATATTAATGAAGCAAATATATCATGAGGACAAACCTACGAGTGATCTTGTGGAACATCCCATCTCAACAGTGAGCATGTTATAGCCATGGAAATTAGAAATAAGCATTCAACATGGCCTGACACTGCAGATTTGACTATGAAAAGCATATTTGGTCAGGCACCACTCACCACAGAGTGGGATCCAGACAGAAAAAAAAGGGAAGGCCCCTGAAAAAGTATATATATATATATATATATACATATATAATATAATATAAGTTACTAAGTCACAGCCTAAAGAATGGTTACAGGTGGAGAAAATACTCCATGGTAAGTCAGGATAGAACCAAAAATTGATTGAGGTGTTACAAATCGTTCACAGGTTGCCAGTCCCCAGTTTCCTTGGGTACAACAAACAGCCTGGAATAAAAACCTGGAGAAGGATGATTAAGAGGTTTGATGGCCTGCTGAGAAAGAAGATCTTGTACCACCTCGGACAGATGCTGACTGGTGATAGGAACCCGAGGCAATGGAAAGGAAATGAGTATCTGAGATAATGAACGAGGGGAAAGAAATTGGATAACAATTCCCTCGGACAAAACCTGAATAACCCAAAAATCTGTAGTGAAAAGTTGCCAAAAACAAAATTGTACTAGCAAGCCCCCACTGGACCAGAACCCACCAGGTAGTCACTGGTACTGTTGGCAATGTGTTTATCTGTGTCGAATAAAACGATAAGATGAGAAACCTCAGGAGGGAGGAATACGTAAGGACTGAGAAGGAGCAGGATGGGAAACAGTAACAATGGAATGTCTATGCTCAGAATGCAACAAACAAGAAAGGGTAGTTTGTTGTTGCACCAACTACATACGGGATTCCAGAGTTTCAGGAATATTACTAAAAACATACCACTGAGGAAAAGGGGCCATACATAAGTCCCAGAGATAAGAAGGCAGTAAACGAACCAGGGGCAAGGCTGCATTCCTCCCCAGGAGATCCCTCGGAAAGGAGGTGGATAGTAGACAAGTACTGTAGGAGAGTCGATAGAGTAAGACGAAGACAGGCAAATTGGGCTTGGGACAAATGAACAGGAAGATCAGGGTCCTCACCCCCCTCCCACCTGGGTAAAATTGATTCTAATTGATGAGAATCGAGAAATGGACATTCAGCCTGATGGTAAGCCAAACCAAACTGATCTGAAGCCTGTGGAGGGCAAGGCATGCTGGCACCCTCATCCACCAAAGAAGCAAAATGCTCAGCATGAGTCAAAATATCCAGGGAATTGGGGAAAACTAAATACTGAGAAGAGAAGGTATCATGTAACAAAGACGGAAGGGGATCATACTGAGTTGGGGAAGTGGATAAAATAGAATATACCTGAGAAATCACATTTAAAAAAGCTGTTGTAAGCCTAGCTGATTCCACAGTAGAGGCATGGGAAGACACGGCAAAATCAGGTGGAGGAAAAAGGCTGTCAAAATCCTCCTCAATCCAAAACAGGTTCGGCATGTTCAGGAGGAATAGGTGCAAGATCAGGAGAGGTTGATTCATAAAACGACCAATCTCCTGGCAGATGATAGCCGATAAATTCAAAGATTAGTCCCCTCCACCTGTAGCCTGTGTGTGCTAGCAGAAGATATGATCTCCGAAGTGGTAACCTGAACTTCGGAATTTATTGTATAAAAAGAAATTCAAACACAATTGTTTGATGAAAAAAGGCAAAAAATGAAAAACTGGGAAAATAAGTTATCTGAAAAGTCTTTAACTATTGAAAAGCAAAGAAAAACAAAAAATCCACTTCGGAATAATAACAAAAGAATATCATGAAGTTGAGCAAATTTGAAGAGTACAACAAAAAATGTCTTTACATGAGTACTGCCAAACGATAAGTGATAGTTCGGTAGATTCGAATAGAGGGAGTCACATGCATCAAGAGAAAATATCGCACTTTTATTGGTGGAGGATTGTCGTATGATGAGTTACATGCAAGATGCATTTGACTTATTTGATTATAAGGTATGTGGGAGCTTAAGACTTGTGGCATGCAAAAAAAAATTTGCATACAGAG